ATAAAAAATATTGTGGAAAAATGTAATCAAATGGCATCACTTGTTGAGTAGTTATCTTATAGTGGTTGAGTATTCCAGCCACTGTTCTAAGCAATCTACATATTTTAATTAATTTACTTGTTATAATAATAGATACTATCTCCCCCATTTTATAGAGATGGAAACTAATGCACAGAGTGGTAAAGCAAATTGTCCACGTGTATGCATGTTAGTGAAGGAGCAAAGTTGGGCTGTGAATCCACACTGCCCTGTTCTAGAAACTGCATGCAATTTGTTCACTTAAATTACTACAACTCTAATATCCAAGTTAAGGCATAAAGTCAAATCTTGTTTTTCAGTATAGTATTTTTTTTTTTTAATCTTTACCTGAGGATTTTTCCATTGATTTTTTTAGACAGAATGGAAGGGAGGGAGGAGGGGGGTAGAGAGGAAGAGAGAGAGAGAGAGAGAGCGAGAGAGAGAGAGAGAGAGAGCGAGCGAGAGAGAGAGAGAAAGAAACATGGATGTGAGACACATCGATTGGTTGCTTCCTGCATGTGCCGACCAGGAAAGAGAACTGCTACCGAGGTACGTGCCCTTGACTGGGACTTGAACCCAAGATCCTTCAGTACGTGGGCTGACACTCTAACCACTGAGCAAAAATGGCCAGGGCTCAGTATAGTATTTTATATAAAAATGGTATGAAAAGTCAGAGTTAGAATTTTATGTTTTTTTGTTATTGCTTGTCTATAGATAAGGTAAAGTGTCAGAAATGGAGAGAAATGGAGTTATAGTATAGACTGTGACTGCTACAAGTTCCTCTCTTTCACTGAAGCACTTTTAGAGAGGATTTATTTGGGGTTTCTTGTCCCCTGCAAAAATCATCCTGAGATGGAAGAAGCACTTCTCTGTTTTTAGTAAGAGAAGCAGTAGACTACTATAGTAGAGTATATTTTTTGTCTGATTCACTTGTCCTTCCTCATAATTTGAGGTATCATATACAGGGGTATATATAGTGTGTGTGTGTATGTATGTGTATATGTATTTGTATGTATCACAAACGTGTCAATGTTTGTGTAAGGTCATGATTGTAAAAAAATAATCTTCATTTTGAAAATAATACTAATTATTGATTTTTTTCTCTTAAGGTAGAAAATATTTTGTTGAATGATGGTGGAAACTATGTACTTTGTGACTTTGGCAGTGCCACTAATAAATTTCTTAATCCTCAAAAAGATGGAGTGAATATAGTAGAAGAAGAAATTAAAAAGTAAGTGTTTATCTTTCTTGCATTTGTCTTAAGGGAATTTTAGTTAACTTGGGTCTGTGATCAGCTCTGCTGATACATATTTTAGATATTCCATTCATAGATTTCTTCAAAATACCTTTATACCATAGATATTGATTAATTTATGTCTGATCTAGCTAAATAGGAAATACATTTTACCATGGAAACAAGGTTTTCATCTACGTTTTAAACACATTTATCAAGAAAGTTGTTAAATAAGCTGTAGTAATGAGTGGAACCATTAAAGGCAGTTTTCACTGATTGTTGAATTCAGTTAAGCATCTTTATTTTTAGTAGTACTGTTTTTGTTAGGAAAAATTAAATTATTTGAAAACATTTAAACTTATTTCATATTTCATATTAACAAGTTGACTTCTGTATGTATTGAAAACTGTTGAAAATGTGTTACTTAGTAATAGTGTACTGGAAAGCTCTCTGGTAGAAAAATAAGTCATATCTGCTTTATGTTTCCTTATTCTTGTACTTTGCATGGCTGCTAGATTACTTGTTAAGACTTTTCTGTTTTAAGATTGTCAAACTGCAGCGGGAAGGCCGGGGAGGGTTGGCGGGGCAGAAGGGAGGGGGGTAAGAGATCAACCGAAGGACTTGTATGCATGCATATAAGCATAACCAGTGAACATAAGACACTGGCGGGTACGGGAGGCTAGGGGACTCTCAAGGGTGGGGGCGGGGGGCAGGGAGAAAGAACACATATGTAATACCCTTTGTAATACTTTAAGCAATAAAAAAAGATAAAATAAAAAATAAAAAAGACTTTTCTGTTTTAGAAAATGGAACTGTTTGTAAGTCTTAGATTACCTTAATAAAATGATACAGACTGCAGAAAGATCTGTTAGAATAGAAATTTATAAGTAGTTGCCTTTCCTGAGTTGCCCTCTTCTTCACAAATTCTCAGTTGTTTTAAACTGTCTAGGAGTTGTTTTTTGAACTGTAACTTTTATTTTGAAATAGCTCAAGTAGAGCTGATATTACCTTGGCTTAGTTGTATAGCACTATGGATTTCTAGACTATGTATTTTTAACAGAGAACTTAGCTTATGGTGATTATATTAGATTCCATAAAAACAAACTCCTTAGTAAACGTATAAATGTCCTAAAGAATTCAAGAACAGTAAATTATAGAATTAACTTCTTGTGAATGCAATTTAAAAAAAAAGATTGGATTGTGATATATAATGGCTGCTTTGATTCTGCTCAAGCACTTCTAACTTGCTAGGTTTTATTTCTTGTTGTTGAGATCTGAAGTATAGTTAAGGTTTAATAGAATTTTGCATTAATGATGAATGTAAACTTATGAGGGTGTGCTTTGTGGCTCAATTGAAGAGTTAATGGCCCAACCATTTACTTAATTAATAGGTATTTATTTAGGGCCTTCAATGTAGTGGACACTGAAGGATAGCAGTAAGGGGGTGCTACAGGCTAGCATTGAACGAAAGTCCTGCCTGCATGCATTTCTTACTCTGGTTTCTTGGGTTGCTTCTCTGTATCATTCAGGATGTCCCACCAATCAGGGTCATTGAAATCAGTAAGATTGTAGAATGCTCACCTTTAAGAACACTTTGTGTAAAATAAAACCTATAAACAGTCAAAATGAATTTTAAGTTATGCCATGATGCAGGAAGTTCATCCATATTTTTGTAATTTCTGCCATGAAATTGAGCACTACTTCATTAAAATATTCTGTTCGTAATGTATTTGGGGTTTTTATATTGGTTAATATTCAGTGTCTTATAATTCCAAATAGCTCATGATGGCAGTATTAGAATTGTACTTAATTAGTGTATTAAAATTATGGCACCTACATTTTTTAAAAACTACAATTATAAAAACAAACCTAAAGGAGATTTACTGCCCTGTGCAAGGAAGTACGTTAGAGTCCATGAAAACAAACTCCTTAAGTGAACATATAAACTAATATTTTGAAAGAAGTTTTATTTTTAAATTGATTAAAATATGTTGATGAGGATATTTTAAGTGTTATATTATTTCAAATAACGAACTCAAGGAAAACTATGTTTCCAATACATTGTCTTTATTTAAAATTTTTGTATTAAAGAGAATTAAGTTTTTATCATTAGAGATGCTATTGTGCTTATTGAATAAAAATGTGTATATCTACATGTTTTGTATTGTTTAATCCTTGATAGACTTTAATGCCTTTTAAAAGTAGTATTATTTTTATCTAATGTTATTGAACAGAGAAATTTTTTGCAGCATTTTATGTAGAAACAATGTAGTATCTGTCTTTTTATTTTATTTTAATATCTCCACTCCATTTTACTTATTTACTGCCAGGTATACAACTCTGTCATACAGAGCCCCTGAAATGATCAACCTTTATGGAGGGAAACCCATCACCACCAAGGCTGATATCTGGGTAAGGCCAAGAAAGGTTGACGTTTTCTCTAACCAAATTTTAAAAATTTGAGTTCAATTGATTATTTGCCCCGTGTTCCCAACAGGTATTTACTAATAAGCAGGAAAGTGTTGTATAGTAGAGATTCTTATTCAGGTGATGAAAATAGAACATTTTATGTTCTTAATCCTGAGTAGGAAAGCTTAGGTATAAAAAAGCAAATAATGGGCTTCCATATTATAGAACTTTTTATCATGATATTTTTTAGTGTTTAGATTAGATACGAGTGTTGATTGAGTGGAATTTTGGTTGGTCACCTTATGGAAAAGCTGGAAATTACACTGATAACTTTCTAGAATATTTTAGGAAATTAACATACATAAAACTTTTCCTAATTATAAACATGTCATTGATTAAAACATATATCAAGTTTTTTATTATTTAGCATATCATATATATTTGGATTGAATTATTAAGATAGATTGTGTTTCTATAAAGCTGAACTTTAGGTTAGATTTTGCCTGTGGGGATTGGGCTGAAACCAGCAGTCGACATCCCCTGAGGGGTCCCAGATTGCAAGAGGGCGCAGGCCATGCTGAGGGACCCCCACCGGTGCATGAATCTGTGCACCAGGACTCTAGTATGCATATAAGATCTTTGGTTAATCTCTTCCCACCCTTCTTCCCCCTTCCCTCTGGTATTCATCAGTCTGTTCCATGTTTCCATGCCTATGCATTGAGCGTCTGCCCCCTGGTGGTCAGTACGCATCATAGTGAACAGTCGGACACTTAGCATATTAGCCTTTTATATATATAGACGCCAGTACTTCTTTTTTACTTATTTCATAAGCAAACTATATTTTAGTAATCCTTTATAATAAAAGGCTAATATGCAAATTGTCCCCTCTGGAGTTCGACCAGGAGACTGGGAGTTCAATTGCTCCCTATGACATTCGCTGACCACTAGGGAGCAGCGCGGAACATGACGGGTGACCAGTGGCAGCACGGTGCTGAGGGAGCGAGGGAAGGAGGAGGTGGGGAACCTGATCGGCCCTGATCGCCAGCCAGGCCTAGGGACCCTACCCATGCACGTATTTCGTGCACCGGGCCTCTAGTATTTAATAAACTAGCAGGGAGGTACTTTAAATGTAAATTCATTTAACTTCAGCTAGTATTTAGCTATATTTGTCACTAGTGACCATGCTAGGGATGGAGGGAAAAAATCCTTTGGAAATAGTTCTAGAGTTTATTAGAAAAGTCATGTTTATTTTGTTTTTAAAACATAGTGTTCAGAAAGTAGTTGAAAGTAATGTGTGAAATAAAATGAATATCTCCTTGGTTCTCTTCTCCTGGACTCTTCCTCTTGGGGTTGGGATACCCAAATATTCCTGCAAGGTAATAAGGAATAACTTTGATATCTTTTTATCTTTCCACATAATATATACTTTTTCACCAAATGGTGTTTCTTAAATCTTTAGTAGTTGCATTTTTAACCATACACATAATTCAATCACACCATGAATAAGTTTGGTTTAATTTGATACTGCTTTTAGATCACCAGCTTGTATAACTCAAATTTAATTTGCTTTTCTCAACATTAACATTTGACTCATTAAATGGTTTGTAGTATAATGTAGAAAGCAAATTCAATTGGATCTGAATTGATAAAATGAAAATATTAGAAGAGGTGACTATGCAAGCGTTTACTGACCTAATTTTGTGACTGGCTGTTGAAATCTGTATTACCTAAAAATCTATTTCAACAACAGAAGAAACAACAGACATCATAGCTCAATACTGTTTTGAAATCATCAAGGGTTACCCAGTATCTTAACAAAAAGGAGAGGGAATCTTTTCTTGTTGTTTATTTTTCAGCAGACTTAGTGTGCATGCCAAGCAACATATTAAGTTGTCAGTGATAAGTTTAAAATTTATAGATTAGTATATGGAGTAGTATTTCTCTAACAGCTAACTTGGTATAACTATGGGGTTGTACATACTCAAAGATAAAAAAAAAAAGAAGCAAGAAAAATAATCAGAAAACAGAAGCTGTGTTTATATGCTTGACAGAGATAGAACTTTAATTTGCATGGTGTTTTTTTATGCTTGTCTTAGCTCAGGTGAAATGTAAGTAAGCTACCACTTTTTAGGTGGGAGATGCTTCATGTTACCTTTTAATGAAGAAAATGGAGGATGGTGATAGCTTTTAAAATCATGTCATTTGTTCTCTCTTGTTTTTTGAACAAGTCTCATAATATAAAATGGATGAAGAGGGAAATGCCTTTGGTATGAAAAAACTAGGACACCTCATTGTGTTCAAACAACATGAAGCAGAATATTTTAGATTTATTGCTGTCTAAAACTGTTAACTGGGTACTCCCACAACACTTACTGTAACACATGACACATTACTAAAGGTCTGATTGACGAGAGAAAACTGGCTAAAATAGAGATCCCTTTTGCCTAGACCCGTGGTCGGCAAACTGCGGCTCACGAGCCACATGCGGCTCTTTGGCCCCTTGAGTGTGGCTCTCCCTAAGCCGTAGGAGTACCCTAATTAAGTTAATAACAATGTACCTACCTATATAGTTTAAGTTTAAAAAATTTGGCTCTCAAAAGAAATTTCAACCGTCGTACTGTTGATATTTGGCTCTGTTGACTAATGAGTTTGCCGACCACTGGAGATTGTCATCTGGGTAGGAGAAAGTGTAATTTAATGCAGATATTACACCATTAATAGTATTTTTTATTATTGTTAAGGGAGCCTTATCATCAGTTTACTGCATACATGCTGAAGATATCTTACTTATAAAACAAAGCATTATAAAATTTTTAAAGCCACATTTTACTGGATTTTTCTATTCAGAATCTTCATAGTTTAAATAAATGTTTTGATTTTTTTTGAGAGAGAGGAGGGGGAGGGATAGAGAGATAGAAACATCAATGAGAGAGTAATACCATCAGTTGGCTGCTTCCTGCACACCACCCAATGGGGATTGAGCCTGAAACCCCGGACATGTACCCTGACCAGGAATCTAACCGTGACCTCTTGATTCCTGGGTCGATGCTCAACCATTGAGCCACATTGGCTGGGCAGAATCTTCACAATTTTGTTAATCATATAATAAATAACCCTGTAATGTCTTTGGATATATTGAAATTTCTAAAGCCTTTAAAGTTTTCCTTAGAACACTGTTAAAATGTTGAAAGTAATGGTTAGTAAATTAATATTATTTAACACAGGTGTTTCTATATAGTGTGATCTTCAAAATAGTTATAAAGGTTAGAGTATTTGTTAGTTGCATTTGCTAAGTTGGTATGTGGAGAAAATTCAACAAAGCAAAACTGATTTGCTGATTTTTAGATGGTAAGGACAAATTTTAGTACTGTTGATAAAATTGTGTACTAACTATTGAATAAGTTCATACAATCTGTTTAGGGTTAGAAATACCCCTTACACAGTTAAGGCTTGTAGATTACACATCTTGTGACAACATATTGATTTCTTGACCTGAAAATTACATTTCATTACTGGTTCTCTGGTTTGAGCTGTGTTAGCAGCTTAGCTACAGTTTTGTTTTTAGGGTATTTTGTTTTTTGTTGTCAGCAAGTATATTTATTGATCCTGTGATGTCTGTGAAGCAGACAGAGCCCTGCCTTTTTGAATTTTAATATAGATTACCAGGTACAAATATGATTAGTAAATTATGGAATAAAGATCATAGGGTTATACAGAAAAATAGGGACTAATTTTTATAGTATGAAATAATGACACATGCTTAGTGTCTAATAAATTTAATTGTGCTGGCTAACTTTTTTGGAATCCCAGCATTTTAAAACATGTTTTATAGTGAATTTTTAATAAGTGTTGTGAAAGAAATAAAAGTATAATTTTTTTCCTCAAAGGGACCAACCACTTCTAATTTTAGTTATATTATTTATGATTTATAGTTCTATGATAGCATTAATTTAGCCAGCTATCCACAGATGTGATGAAAAACATGGAAATGATATAGTTAAATGTCTTCTCAACAAATAAGCTCATTAATTAGTTTAAGCAAGTAATTTGTGAAAAGATTAATTCAGTATAAAAACATTAGTCTTTAAAATAACAAATTTAGTTTTTGGTTTAATGCTATTTTTATGTCTTGTGGTTAAGTTGTTTATTTGAATTCTGATGATATTCATGCTTCTTTATTTTACAGGCACTGGGATGTTTACTGTATAAACTTTGTTTCTTCACTCTTCCTTTTGGTGAGAGTCAGGTTGCTATCTGTGATAGCAGCTTCACCATCCCAGACAATTCACGTTACTCCCATAACATCCATTGCTTAATAAGTGAGTATTTGGAAAAATTTATGACACAATTATGAGATACTGTACATAGGGCCTGCTATTACATCCCTTAGCCTAAATCTAGACTTTTAATTTCATTTATTATAATTTTATGATGCTATAGTAAAGAAAAACATTGAAAACGATGTTTATAGACTTTTATGGAATGAAAACAGCCTAATTACTAACTAGTACATTAAGCCCCTAGATAAGCTTTTGTAGAACACAGAGATTATGTAATTAAGGAAACTGGAATTTCTGGAAAAACATAAGCATAACATTTAATTATTTGGTCTTTGTTCTTTTGATCCAAATATCCAGATCTGTTGCTTTTTTTTTGGATCAAAGTATTGCTAATCTTAGATGTAGCTTACTTGGTCACCCTTGTTAACATCTGTTCTTTATGATTATAAAATGGTTATCAGAAGCAAACTAAGTGCATCAGAAGTATAGTCCTATGGGCTTTTGAATTCAAAAGAATGCTTCACTTTTCCTTCTAGCCTACTCTGACCCTCCCCCCCCTTATATAGGTACTCTAATTTAATTTCTTACATACATACATGGTAACATTTCTGAAAAAATGATGATTTGGGAAGGGAAAGGATCATCAGGAAGCTGCAGTAATTAAACAGTACCTCGCAACACTGAATTAAAGTGTGCCGAGCATTTCTACTCTGTTTTCTGCCTGTTAAACATTCCCTGTCATAGCCTCTCCACACAGAGCAAGGGGGTTAATGGGGGGATGAGGACACATTTGTGATACCTTAGCCAATAAAGAAATTAAAGATAAAAAAAATTAAAAAAATAAGAAAAAGAAAAGAGGGTCAATCTAAACATATTGGATACTTTGTAAGATAAAAAATGGCAATTCAACTCAGCGGGGGAAAATAGATGGAAGTACAGAGTTAATAGCAATTTGTAGATTAAAAAAATCAGACTGAATTTCTGCTTAAACTTTATGCTAAAATTTCAGATAAGTTAAAGACAAATGTAAAAAATGTATTTGAAGAAAACAGGTGTGAATCTACTTATAACACTGGAATTGGTGATCTAAAAGTGAGGCATTAAATCTCAGGAATGAGAAAAGATGAAGCCATTAGTATATACAATTAAACCATTAAAAAATCTTCCCAAACTCATGAACCTCAGCATAAAATCAAGTGATCAGTTGGAAAAACAATTTGTTACACATCTGACAAATGACTAACTCTTGTAATTTATGAGACTCATGTAAGTAAAAAAGAGGAAGTACCCAAAAGAAAAATGGTCAAAAGAAAGTGTTAAAAGGATGGCTAGCCTTGCTTTGCAAACATATTTAAAGCAGACTTTTTATTTCTATAATGTGGTTTTGCTCACACATGTTAGAAATTAGAGAATTATACCAGTTGAACACAAAAATTACATTGCTGAATGTGGGATGTTTTCCTAGGCAAGGGGAACCAGTAATAGGGTTGGGGAGATGGTGTTATAACTTACAGGGGAAAGGAAATAGCCCTTGTCAGTTTTGTGTGGCTCCCTACTAATGGTGGCCCCCTGAAGAGCAGCCCCTCTGGGTCAGGTTCCACTTCTATTGGTTGAGTATCTCCTAGCTTTGTTTTGATGTGTTTTTTTATCCTTGTGGCAGCCTCCAGCCAAGTTAATCCACCTGTCTGGGCGGTCCAGGTTATCTTCCTAGGTACCAGTTAATGTTTTTGTCACTGCTCTGGTGACAGAGTTGTAGTTTTCCAATGGTTTGTTCCAAATTTATTTTCCCCTTAGCCCTGTTAATTTTAGCCTGACATTTTGCAGAATGTGAAAAAATTTTAAAGCAAACATACCATTAGAATGTATTTGAATAAGCATTAGATCCATAACCCACTCTATCTTATCTAGTCAGTTTCCTCCTTCTGTACAAAAATTAGGGCATCAAAAGCATGTAAGAACCCCAATTAATTGGAATTCTCAAAGAATAGATAAAGGAATTTATTTTGGCTAATTGAAGTTTAACTTTTTATTGAAGTTAAACTAATTTTTTAATTTGCAATGTCTTAGGAATTCTGAATATTCTCATTGGACAATATTGTATGGGAGACTGGACAGTACATACCCTGATTTGTGATTTCATTTGACTAAAATAGCAAGAAGATCTTATTTTCTCGTGTTAGGTTTGATCTTTTTCCCTTCTCTGTGTGTATGTGGGATGTTTTCCTAGGCAAGGGGAACCAGTAATAGGGTTGGGGAGACGGTGTTATAACTTACAGCGGAAAGGAAATAGCCCTAAGCTTGGCTGCCATACTTTCCGTGGAAACACTTGTAGCTCTGATTGGAGAATAATAAATATGAGTGCTTGTACCTGGAGTTTTCTTACCAGTGACTGTGTTTGTAATGGCAAGGTTGGAAACTAACCACTATTGATAATTTTAGGATTTAATTGATCCTAGTTAATTGATGCAACGTATGCTTCTTTTAGTTGTCACTAAATACATAGATTTTCATTTTTATCAGTGTTTGTATAAATTTGACCATGTATTAATGTTTTTGAACTTATTTCTGAGAAGTAGGCAGAAATTTAGAAAAGATTGAATAAAATAAAAGTATTCAAGTAATGTTGGTATTTTGTCTCCTGTCAAAGGATTTTTATGGACTTTACTTTTAAAATATCATCTTAGTAGTAAAGCTTAACAGAGTAGATATTTTTTGGAACCAGAACATACTTACCTATAATGTAATGTTTTCAGAAAACATTTAGACTCTTTATAATTGTATTTTTTTCCTTTACTTTTTTCGCATGTGACCTTGCCTGTTTCCCACGATCCTATTTAGATTTCTCTGTCTACTTTATGCTTTGTAATTAGTGATTTATATTTCTTTCAAATAAATCCTGCATCCAGAAAACCAGGAAATGCCTAGCTGTGCACAGGGTTTTTGAAAGTGTAACTTTTTATTGCCAATTGTCTATTTATGCAGTATATTTGATTTCACATTATTATAAGATAAAGCAGTAAAAACATAAATCTTTTTAGTATTAATAGAATTACTAATTCTGCTTACATCAATTTTATGTAATGAGGATATTTGAAAATGAAATAGTCATGCCTAACCTTTGTAAAACTGTATAGTTTGCGGTTATGTAAGTGTATTTGAATATACTTTTGATTATCACTATTTGGTCCAGGATAATTAGTATTATACTAGAGGCCCGGTGCATGAAATTCGTGCGCGGTGTGTGTGTGTGTGTGTGTGTGTGTGTGTGTGTCCCTCAGCCTGACCTGTCCCCTCTCCAATCTGGGAGCCCTCAGGGGATGTCCTACTGCTGGCTTAGGCCTGCTCCCCATGGTTCTCTGCTCTCTGTGGGGCCTGCCTGCTCCACATCGCAGCGACTGCCAAGCAGGCCGTGCTGGGTGCTGCCTGTGGGCTACACTTGCCTGCTCCTTGGTCGCCGAGGCAATGGCCAAGCAGGCCATGCTGGGTGGTGCCTGCAAGCAGCTCTTGTCTGCTTCCAGATCACTGTGGCAACGGCCAAGCAGGCCGTGCTTGGAGCTGCCTGCTGGCCGTGCTTCCCTGCTCCTGGGTTGCCACAGGCCGTGCTGGGAGCTGCCTGCCAGCCGGGCTTGCCTGCTCCCTGGTTGCAACGGCAACGACCTGCCGTGCTGGGAGCTGCCTGCAGGCCGCGCTTCCCTGCTCCTGGGTCAGCCAAGCAGGCTGTGCTGTGCTGGGAGCTGCCTCCTCCCTGCTGTCGTCTCCATGGAGGCGATGAGGTTAATTTGCATACTCACTCCTGATTGGCTGGTGGGCATCATGAAGGTATGGTCATTCTGTATCTTTCTCTTTTGTTAGTGTAGAGGCCCGATGCAAGAAATTTGTGCGGGGGTGGGGCGTTGTCCCTCAGCCCAGCCTGCGCCCTCTCCATCCGGGACCCCTTGGGGGATGTCCCACTGCCAGTTTAGGCCCGGTCCCACAGGGATTGGGCCTAAACAGGCAGTCGGACATCCCTCTCGCAATCCAGGACCACTGGCTCCTAACCACTCACCTGCCTCTCTTCCTAATGCCCCCAACTGCTCTCCCCTCCCGGCCTGGTTGCCCCCAACTGCCCTCCCCTGCCGGCCTGATTGCCCCCAACTACCCTCCTCTGCTGGCCTGATTGCCCTTAACCCCCTCTCAGCCTGATCTCTACCCTAACTGCTCTCCCTTGCCAGTCTGATCACCCCTAACTGCCTCTGCATCGACCCCACCACCATGGCTTTGTCGGGAAGGAAGTCGGGTGTCCATTGACCCCATCTAATTAGCATATTACCCTTTTATTAGTATAGATAGATTATATAGGATAGGATTGCTTATGGGGGGCGGGGAAGCCTTTTACAGCAGGAGGAAATGTTCTTGGCAGACAAAAATACATAACCCCTATATCTGGACTGATAGCCAGCCATATGCATTATACTGCCAAACCGGTTATTAACAAATTGAACCACTTTCTTACACCTTACACCAAACAGCTGTTGCTCTTCAAACCCCTCCTCAGCCCCCACCTTAGGTTCTGCCTTCGCAGTTCACCCAGATTAGGTTCTGATTGGTCGGTTTCTATGCCAGTCAGCATCAAAAAGGTCCGTCCTAGGCAGGCTTTGGCTCCTCTGGGGAATCCAGAACATCCCCACCTTCATATCGGCGCCAGCCCTTCAGTCACGCCCCAAGTTCGCTACCAGGTATATCTCTGGACGCTCTGAGAAGCGGCACCTCAGGCTTGTGCTGGTAGCAATTTTGAATTTTCATCCCTGACCTAACCTTCTTACAGTGCGAGCTCTGTGGAGGCAAGCATTTGCCTTGTTCATTCTTAGTTCACTCATAGACTATACCTGTGTCTATGTATCTATGTTAGTACTGCATGGTGACCGGTTGAATGGTCGTTTCTGTCGTCACAGTCACCGCCTTTTTATAAATATAGATACTATCCATAAAACTTTGTTTAACAATTTTATATACTTTCTGCAGACTTCTTAAGTAGCAGAGTCAGTTATTTACATTTTTTTCTTCTTAGCTTCTGTTAACGTTTCCAATAGACAAGTAGAGGAAGTGGATTGGGGATGAGGAGAGAAGCATTTTCTATTTATGGATCTAAGAGTTAAAAAGTACTTAGACAATATTTAGAGGAGAGTGAGAAGCAAAACTAACAGTTATGATGCATGGACAGAATGCTGGCTTCCTCACCTTTCTTTTAGCTTCTATTAAGGTGGTTACGGAAGTACATGTGGTGATTAAGAGTAAGAGCCAGAAGGCCTGGGCTGCACCTGCTGTCACTTATTTAGTATGGAATATTGGGCACCTCTGTTTATCTCTATCTCATTTCTAAAATGAGCATATTAAAAGTACTTAGGTTTATTGTGAAAATTGAATTATGAAAAGTGCTTCTTGGTATGTATAAGTACTCAGTAAGAGATGGCTTTTTTAATACATCACTGCAGCTCTGTTAACTACCACTACCAGTACTACTGAAACCTATGTAAATCTTCCAGAGCCAACCTAATTTCTGATTTTCTGGGTAAGGATCAGGGCATCTGCTGTCAGATACTCAATAGTGTGTCCTTTTCCTGCAGAGATTTCTTTGGATGCTTCGAAGCAGAAGTCGGTTTTGCAGGCTCATGGTGGATTTATCAAAGGCCTACCATAAACTAAGAATATATTTCAGAATATAACTAATTACTTCTCTTACCTCTTATTTGATGCAGTAATGTAATGAATCATAATGAACAACAAGGAAAGCTTTTTTTTAATTGCTTTTGGGTTTACTAACATATTGTTGCTTTATGGTTCTGGATCTTAGCTCTTAGCAGCTTATCTATTAGGTTTAAATTTATTTTTTTAATTGACATATAATGTATTAGGTCTAGGGATATACATAATGATTTGGTATATGTATACAGGGTGTCCCAAAAATATGTATACCCACTTTAACAGCTGATTCTATTACATATTGAAAAGGAAATGTATTTAATAAACACTACCTTTATATTTGTTCAAAATGTGTATATATTTTTGGGGGACAACCTGTATAGTGTGAGATGATTACCACTATAATTCTAGTTAACACCTATCACTTCACATAGTTACACATTGTTTTTTCTTTGTTCTGAGACCTTTTAACATCTCTCTTGGCAACTTTTAAAATACAGTACTGTTGTTAACTATAGTCAGCATACTGTACATTGCATCCCCGGGACTTATTTATATTATAACTAGAAGTTTGTACCCTCACGCATACCCCAGCCCCCACCTCTCGCAACCATCAATCTGTTCTCTGTATCTACGAGTTTCGTGTTTTTTTTTAAAGATCCCACATACAAGTGAGATCATAGGTATTTGTCTTTTCTCTGTCTGACTTCTTTTACCCTGTATAATGCTCTTGTGTTCCTCCCCGGTGTCTCAAATGGCACAATTTACTTTCTTTTTATGGCTGAATAATATTCCTCTGTGTGTGTGTATAACATTTTCTTTATCCATTCATCCATCAATGGACGCTTAGGTTGCTTCCATGTTGTGGCTATTGTAAATAATGCTGCAGTAACATGGGGGTGCAGATATCTTTTCCAGTCAGTGTTTGTGTTTCTTCTAATGCATATCTGGAAGTAGCATTGAAGGATTACATGATAGTTCTATTTTTAAGTGTTTTCCAATATACATTTCCTGTGCCAATTTACATTTCCATCAAAGTGCACAAGGATTTCCTTTTTTCCCACATTCTCACCAACACTTGTTATTTTTTTATCTTTTTGAGAATAAATAAATTTATTTTAATGCTTTCTGTGGGAAACCAGGAACTGGCTTGTTATAATATACTTAAAATTTATTATGAAAATTTAAAAAATAGAGGCAGCACAGTACAGTGATGCTTTTGTGGGTACCCACTCATGGCTAATCTTGTTTTATATGCGCCCTTACCTTCTCTTTTCTCCCTTTTTAAAAAAAAAAATGTCAGAAATTTTAGTATATCTTTGAAAAGAAACCAAAGATTAAGATAGGATTTCCTTGGAGGTTTTCTATAAGTGGCTCCAAATTACCACCTGGGGAGATGTAAAAAGAGGGCTCTGATAATAACTTTTAGGGACAGCTACCAGGACTATCCCAACTATACTGTGCTTACATATTTATGGTGCCATTTAATGTTTTAATTATGATTGAACACATTTATTATGGCTGTTAAAATAGGTTTCACTTCACTAGTTCACAGAATTTGGTATATAGGACACATATGCCCAACATGTAAGTTTCTATAATAATCTCCATAGATTAACAGATAAAAACAACAAGTTAATGCTTGAAGTACTTTTGGTTGCAAAATTAGAGTGGGTATTTCTCTTTTCAGGTAAATTACCATAATAAGTGGCAGTCTGTGGCAAAGAAAAAGTATCTTTTTGGAAGGAAAAAAATTAAATTTTAAGTAGGAACATTCTTTTGATACTTGTATCCAAAGTCTTTTCCTATTAAATGTGCTGTTATATTAAAAATGCTGGTATACTAGTAACTTTGACATAGGCTAGGCTTGGAGCCATGGTTTTGTGTAACTTGAATTTGAACTCCCTTATTTAATTTTGGCTTGAGCCTTTAATTAAACCATAATTTAACTTCACCACTGCTACAGCAGCAGCAGCTCCTTTTGCTGCTCTTTCTGTTGGAATATGCATGGTGGTTGTACTTTCCAATGGAAAATAAATACAAACATAATTCAGCTGCCTCAGATAAGTGTTATTTAATCAGATATGTCTTATACATCACTTGGAAATATTGTGATGTGTAATCATACACTGCCTTTTATGCTGAGACTATATTGTGTTCTCAGGTTGTATTAATGGGGTTTGTGTCAATAGAAAGATCCACCCAATTAAAAGGAGCAGAGAAAAGCCTTTCCTGTCTATGTGGACACCTTTTTAGAAGTCACTCTTATTTGCAGTGGAATCAGGGGCACTGGGCGTGTTCTCATGATGGTTCACATGATCATTTTAATTGAATAAACAAGGCGTATTTTAGCTTCTCTGCCTCTTTTTCTCTTTAAAACTTAATTTCTTAGATGAATTGGACACATGGATTCCTTAATTCACTCCTTCCCCTCAAGAGCATGTTTTTGTAAACGGTATAGTTTAATTGCCATGAAGTGGGAGTTAATAAAAATACTAGAATTGAGGTTTCATTATTGTGAGAGCAAATGGCTTTGGACCAGCTATACTTAAAATTAAACTGAAGTTGTCTTTCTTGGCAGATATGCCTCAGTGTTTAGCTGGAATAGAGCTGATCTATGAAATACATATATAGGATGGCCTGATGGATGGTTTTATTTCTCTGTAGATACTATGCAACTTCAGATTATATTATTCAGTAGTCTAGGAGTATATTTTGCAGTCCATTCCTTTGGATAGTTTGAAAAATTACATTATTTAAATTAAATGCTTAATGATGCTTTTTTGAGTTTATTTCTTTTTTTAATGGCTGGTACTATCCAGTATAAAAGTATTCAGAGATAAAAATGTAGCCATTTTCTACCTGTGCTTTTCAGTGTCATCATGCTTTGAATTTAGAACCAAATCAGAGATGGAATACAGGAGCTCATCAGATAAAACTGTCAACGTCAGTAAATAAAGTAGATTGCTAAATGAAATTTAGACCTGATGCCAAATGGGCCTCTTCATTTGTAGTCAGGCCCCAAGTTTACTCAAAACCAGTCATAGGCTGGAAACCTTAGACTTCTTCCACAGAAGCAGGCCACTTGCAAAACATGGGTTTGCATAGAATATATATGTCCTGAGAGTAAACTGTTCTGAAAGAGCAGCAGATATGGGCATGTGCTTTCCCTCCCTCCCCCCACTTTTTCTTAGCACAAATTGCTCTCCCTTAGAGAGGAATGAGTTATATAGGGAGTGTTCACTAGCATAGTGGTTTTCAAGGAGTTTGTGATCCACAGTAATAAATACATTTTAGTTATGACCTGGCACACATACACGTGGACTAAGTTTCATGAAACATTGCTTATACCAAATTAGGGTACTTAATATTTTCTACTTTATTAAAATAAATGCTAGTCACTACCTTTTAAACTGATTTTATATCACATAAATGGGATGGGTACAGTTAGACAAACTAAACTGGCTCCCACAGAGATGTATTCCCATGTGAAAACATGAGCCAGGGACTTAACTGGTCCTTTTCTTTGCTTATAAGATGATATCATTTCTACCCACAGCCTAGCCAACTGAACATTAGAGGATGTTGTGCTATGCTTAACTTGAGATATATAATTACTTATACAAATACAAGAGGTCCGGTGCACGAAATTAATGCATGGGGCAAGGGGGGGTCTCTCAGCCTGGCCTGTGCCCTCTCGCAGTCTGGGACCCCTTGCTCCTTACTACTCGGCTCACTGTTCCTTAGTGGTGCTGCGGAGGCGGGAGAGGATCCCGCCATCACCGCTGTGCTCGCCAGCCATGAGCCTAGCTTCTGGCTGAGCGGCGCTGCTGCACTGACCACCAGGGGGCAGCTCCTGCGTTGAGCATCTGCCCCCTGGTGGTCAGTACATGTCATAGTAACTGGTCGTTCTGCTGTTTGGTCAATTTGCATATTAGACTTTTATTATATAGGATTTGTTAGAGAACCTAAAGTCTCAAATTTATTTATTCCCCTTCAGTGCTTCTCACTTTTTATGAAAGAAAAAAAAATATGTAGGATTGCCTAACATAACATTTTATTTCTCCCTACATACTTAAAAAGCTTTCTCCAGATCCAGATAGGCAGAGAAGTATATTCTCATACCGTACTGTTCTCTACCCCTATAGAATTTTGTTTTTACCTAACAGCATGTAGATGTTTTGTCACTGGCCCACTTGGAAGAAGCGTATAAGACATTACCCAGTGTCACTCACTGCAGTTCTTTAAGGGCAGTGTTCACTCAGTGGGAGCCAGCTTTAGAAAGACCCAAAGGAGCATTTATTGTTTGCTTTTTCTTAGCACCTGGTTTATTTTTATATTAAAGACACTGATTTATGGAATGGATCATGTTGCCCTATTTGTCTTGACAGCTAGAAGGTAGAGGGCTGAATTTGTGGCCTATATTTATAAGATCAAATCATATCAATTTCTTTATGGCTATCATCATCCTGGTGCATTTGTTGTGTTTGTTGTTGTTGATATTTTGGGTCTCTCAGCCATTACTTTTCCATTAGTCCTAATTTCCATATATTTTAAAATGTTTAGAGGTTGTATGCCACTTCAAGTCCTTTATAGGAATAAATATTTAAAATTATATTTTAAAAGTTAAATAAACTTAATTGTTAGAAAAGTAGAATCTTAAGTTTGTGAACTTGATAAGTTTATTGTGATTTGTTTTAAAAATTATTTGAATAAACATTTATTGTTAGAAGTCTATTTAAATGTATTCCTATGTCACACACTGCTGCTACTTTTAAAACATTTAATATCTGTTGGTATCATGATAAAATATGATTTTGAAGGATAAAATAAATCTTGTAGATTCTTAAAATCTTTCCAGGAATGAGGTTGAATATAGTCCAATTAATATTAGAATTAAATGTTTTTAGTTATTTCCATCTAACAGTGGTTATAATATAATAAAAAATAAATTCTATTAAGTTATACATGTTAGTGTTTTCCAGTACATAAAATCAAATTACGTGTAGATTTTTTTAAAGATATATTTTTATTGATTTCAGAGAGGAAAGGAGAGGAAGAGAGAGAGAGAAACATCAGTAATGAGAGAATCATTGATTGGCTGCCTCCTGCATGCCCCACACTGGGGATCGAGCCTGCAACCTGGGCATATGCCCTGACCTGGAATTGAACCAGTGACCTCTTGGTTCCTGGGTCAGCGCTCAATCACTGAGCCACACCCGGCTGGGCTCGTGTAGAATATTTTAAAACTGAGTTCATAATCTCCCAAATAAATTTCTGCTAAATTTATGCTATTACTTGCCAAACAAGTGTGTTTTTTAATCAAAATAAGTTTATCATGCTGTGTAAGATGTAGTAAAAATTTGTTTAAAAATTACTTAAATGTGAAAGAAAAATTTAATTAATTTTATTTTTTCATTGCTTAAAGTATTACAAAGAGTATTACATATGTCTCCTTTTTCACCCCCCTCCCTTGACAATCCCCTGGCCTCCCCTACCTCCCAGTGTCTTATGTCCATTGGTTATGCTTATATGCATGCATACAAGTCCTTCGGTTGATCTCTTACCCACCCCTCTTGCTCCCCAACCCTCCCTGGCCTTCCCGCAGTAGTTTGACAGTCTGTTTGAGGCAGCTCTGCCTCTGTATCTATTATTGTTCATAAGTTTATAATGGTCTTTATTATCCATGAATGAGTGAGATCATGTGGTGTTTTTCTTTCAACAGCCTCTTTCAAACGACATTAATATTTGTTCTGCACGTGAACCCAGCAAGGGACCTGTTACTAGAGTCCACTACAGCCACAAGTTTGTTGAAACTGTTTTTCTCTCCCTGCTAATAACCAGAAAAAGAAATTCCCATGCATATCTTCATTTCAGGCCTGTTGCAAGTACCATCAAAGGAGGTAAAGCACCCAGCAATAAATAACAAACTATTTTGTAGGCCCTATTGCTACCAACAGCTCTACCTTTAGAGTCTGCCAAAAAGTTTTTTTGTATGATTCTTTTTAAAACTACACCAAATTTATTTTTTCTTGTAGCATGCCACAGTTGAAGCTTTGCAATGTTTTATATTTGTTAAAAATAGAGGACTTGGCCCTAGTTGGTTTGGCTCAGTGGATAAAGCGTTGGCCTGAAGACCAAAGGGTCCCAGGTTC